ATGTGCTACAATGCCTTCTGTCAGAGGATCTGTTAGGATGACTCCATAGCAGAAATGGCATTTATCATGAGAAGCAGCTCTTCTAGAGTGGCCCATACCTTTACTTCCCTCATCAGACTCAGCCACTATCCATGGAGCCAGGGGGTGATAAGACAACGAGCTGTTCCCACTTTGGGCTCCTGGGAATAATGGTTCTATAGATGGAAGTAGATGCCTGGGCTCCTGCTTCCAGACTTGGGGTATTCAATCAAAATAAGATCCAGCCATGCCTGGATTCCTGTTTCTAAACACTGGGTATTCAATCTGAATATATGAAATCAGATTCGGCAATTGTTCTATTTAAAAGGTTTCCATGCAGGAAATGGTAGCACATGGCTGTAAGCCCAGGCTTGGGGGGGGTGGGGGCTGAGGCAGAAAGACTGTAAGTTCAAGGCCACTGTGACTACATACTGAGTGCATAGCAAGATTCTATTTCAAAAAATTTAATTAGGGGGATGGATACGGTTTGGGGATGGAGTCCAGAGGTACAGAATTCACTTGGCATGTACAAGGCCCAGTTTTGTTACCCAGTGTCTGAAGGACGGTGAGCTGCAGGCTAGACCTGAAAGCAACAAGCATGCTGAGTGACTTAAGGGCTGGTTTGGAAAAATGGACACACTGGCTTTCCCATTTTGAGAGCTGACCTCTGCTTCTGGCCCTTCTGAAACAATGGACCACACCCTTCCTGCTCATGTCTCAGAAGCAATTCAAGGGATTCCCCAGGCAGGTGGGAGACTTCCAGCTCAATGAGAAACAAAGAATGAACAGCAGGAAAACCAACTTAAATAAACTTGTTTTAATCAGCAGTGCAGCAAAGAGGAAGCAGTGTGGGAGGATGAAACTGTTTGCAGAGGGAGGTAGAGAGAAGACTTTACAGATGCTTCTGGAAAACAGTTTCCCTATTCCTGGTAAGATCTCAGACAGCCTGCCTGCTCTAGGCCACACCTGACACTCCCCAAGGGTGCTTTAACCCTCTCTCAGACAGTGTGTCTGGAGCCACTTTTCCACACCAGCACTGGGTTGGGGGACATGCTAGGAAAGCAAGATGTCCCCAGCATTCTTGTAGCTGCCTGTCCAATTATAAGGGAAGGAAGGACATTTGCAAATAAGAAAAAGAGATAGGATATGTATTTGACTATGAATTCTGGAAGTCTAGATACCAAAACCCCTTGCTTCTATGCACTTGCTTAATGTCTTTGCTTCTGTTCCCGCCCTGCAAACCAGGTCTGGGGATGGCATAAAATGTAAAGGGACACCAAAAAGCTCTATTTACAAGATAAATAATATTTTAATGCACTCACTCAACACCAAAGTTATCAATAAAATGAACACACTATCAGCATTGTAGACAAGGTCATGGTTAGAACCTATGCTGGCATCCTGGGGCTTCAGATCTGCTGCCCTGGTACCAAAACTTCATCCTTACAAGTGGCCTATGGACTACAGTTAGTGGGTTTGGTTGTTTTTTTTTTTTTAATATTGCATTAAGTTACAATTTATTTTATCACTGTGATTTTCAGAGGCAACTGACCACCTTAAGTGGTTCACCGTTGTCCTAGCGACTGGCCACCTTGACTGGCTCACCTTGCTCTGGCCTTGCCTTCATGTCTCCTTATAAAGAGAGTGGCCAGGTAAGACATGACACACAATTAGAATTGAATTCCAGATGAGGTTTATCATGAGAAAAACTTAAATATAAGAAGATTATCCATGGATATTTTATGAAGTTGACATATAATGGAATATCTTGTGTTTCATTTGCTGATCCTGGCAGTCCTGCTTGAGAAGTATTAAGGCAGTGTTCCTGTCCATGGCAATATACCTCACCATGGACGCATACCCCACCCAGGCAACATACCCCACAATGAACACATACCCCACCCTGGCAACATACCCCACCATGGACACATACACTTTGCCCTCTAAAAAGAAGCATTCCTCAACATCTGCACAGTGTTCCTAGACTTCCTCCCTCAGTCATCCTGCAACCTCTTGTCTTGTAGCTTCTGCAGCTGAGCCTGACCTTGGCTGTCAGATCCTCCTTGGGCTCTGTGGATGCTGTGAAATGCA